GTCCAAACTAGTCCTAAGACCTTTGTTGGGGTTATGTGTTTGCAGTCAAATGTCTGTGTATCCCCAAACCCCTTGACCCATATGAGACTACTAAATTCATTTGGATTCTGTGTGTGACCCTATCCTGAAGTGCCTGACTCTGTTTACCACTCCAACCTCTTTTGAAACAACTTCTATTGCTTTACTAATGGCTTTCAAGACAAACGTTTAAATCCAGTCTTTAATAATTCTCTTTCAACTTGTGCCCTGCACTTTCACATCACTCTTAGTTAATAAGTTCTGCCCCCTCTAGTATGTGTATAGTCTTGGGATCCTCTTGAGAGCCCTCTGAACTCTAGCATACTGAGGTTGGCCTTTCCATACTGCACTGGTTCAATGCTTGGTTGCTAAGTCTAGGTGTAAGCATTGCTCGGGGTCTTTAAGACCCTTAAGGAACTTTGATGCACCTAGACTCTGATTTGTCTATGGAAATGAGGTTTGTGAGACCATTAGAGGCTTTAGGAAACTTGGGCCTGATTGCAGGCTCCCTATAGAATAGCTTCTTGATTTCTATTTCTACTTATGTAATTCATTTATTGGCCTGTAATAATTTGTAAACAGATATTTGGGATATTTAGTAAAAGGGAGTGTAGATGTATACTTTGTGGGGTAATATGGGTAGAAATCCTGCTATTAGTATCTTACTTTTCAAATTTGCCTGCCTTACTCAGTAGAAAACATGCTCATAGGTTTGCTCTTGTGAATCTGATTGCTTTTGCCTAATAGAAATCATGCCTATAAGATCTCATTTCCAATTTCTTTTGCATCAAATAGAAACCATTTTCATACGATTCTGCATTTGTCATGTTAGAAACCATGTTGCTAGGTTCCAAACCATTATGTCTTAAATCAGTAGATGTCATGCCTATAGGACTTAATTCTGATTCAGTTCTAATAAGTATTTCCATATGTTACTACAAATTGACTAAAACCAGTAATACGCCTAAATACCATGCCTATAGGGATTTATATTCGCAATTATGTCTGATAATCTAATTAGCCTATAAATCAATTTCATTTCACCTAGTTTACTTCTTAAAACTGGTCTTATTAAGTGTCAATATTTCCTGAAACCAGTTCTTTCAAAATAGCCTCAATCGCATTAGATATCATGCCTATAAGTATTAATTTTGAAAAACTTGTTTGTTTCTGCATAAATACCAGTATTCTTCTTATAGGCAAGCCTTAGGGCGTTTTTCAAAAAAATTGTATTTCTCTGAAACTGTCTCTGTAGTTTAAATGTTTCTGATTCTAATAAAGCTTTTAAAAAAGGGAATCCCTAGGCAACTACTAGTTTATAACTTCTGGGTATAAAAGGTTTGGTGTGTTTCTGTATAGTCACTTAGAGATCCTGTTTTAGGACTTTGATTAATAAGGACTTTAACTATGCTTGAGATGTACTGCTTGTATGTTTGTTTGAGGAGGAAACTATGAGCCTCTTAATTACTCCCATTATGTGAAAATCCTAAATGTTTTGATTGTCGCCTTAGAGTTTTTCGCCTTTCTAAACCTTAAGGGTATGTCTAGAACTACCTATAAGTAGAGGTCCTAGCTCCCTCCGAGACCATTAAGAAGGGACGGGTAGTAGCACGCAATAGAAATCAGTGACCAAACACTCGCTTTGCATGACCAATTAGGGAATAAGAAGGGTAGACATGGGATATAATGATTACGCGTAAATGTCACGTGTAGCCCCTCATCGAGAAGTGTTTACCGGACATTGCGTGGGGTGATCCTATAGGACAAACAACCTAGGACCCCTCTCTACCAAATCCTCTCTTTATATAAAACTTTTGGTCTTTTACAACTTGTTCAAACCTTTATCTCACTACTTGAAATTACCAACATGCTTTACTTACAACTCATTTGATTCAACTGTTTATAGGGACTAATTTGTAAATATAAGTTCCGTCGGGACCGATAGTTATGGACTAAGAGGAGTGCCTAACACCTTCCCCTCGAGGTTACTTCGAGCCCTTACCCTAATCTCTGGTAATGCAAATCAACTCAAGAGTTAATCACTCTAGTTGCCCTAACGCTCCATAATTCGTTAGGTGGCAACTCCTCAAATATCCAATTCCCAAAATAAAATGAGTCATTACACCCCATGAACGTCAAAACCCGGACTTTTCTCCTTGGAGGAAAAAAGGGGCGTGACACCCTCACAGCAAGTATGTCACTATTTCTAATAACTGGCTCTGTACCTACTGTAGGAACAATGTGCACTTCAACGAAAACTGCCAGGCTAGGGTTCAATCTGTTCAGAAAAACAAAGTGTTTATTGAAAAGGTGACTACAAAAGAGAGACCAGGTTCCACTCACAAAAAGCGCACATTACCTGCATGGACTAAGAGAGCTCTTATTCATCCTCTTGCCTACTACAAGGGACCCAAACTTGCTTGGGTTCCTAAAACTAACTCTTGACCTTCTTGTGCAGGGAATAGTGAAAGCAAGCGGTCAACAATGGTTCATGGATAGTAGGTATGCAAAGCACATGACTGGGAACACCATGGACTTTCTTTCACTAAAAGCCCTGCAAGAAGGGAGTGTATCCTTTGGCAATGGGAAAAAAGGATACATTCTTGGAGTTGGAAAGCCGGGAAGTCACTCACTCATTCTATTGAAAATGTGTACTATGTCAATGGCCTTAAGTACAGTCTCTTGAGTGTCTCTTAGATATGCGATAAGGGAAACAAGGTGGAAATCTTGTCCAAAATATGTACAGTTACTGATCTAGTAACTGGTGAAGTGGTACTTGTGTCTAAGAGATACAAGAACATCTATGTTGCCGATTTTGAGTCCTTACAAAGTGGTCATCTGAGTTGTTTGAAAGTCGTTGATGATGATGCTAAACTGTGGCACAGAAGACTGGGGCACACAAGCTTTTCTCTTCTGAACAAACTAATTCAGAAGGACCTGGTCCATGGTCTGCCCATATAAAAGTTCAAGGTGCAAAAAAATTGTGTTGCATGTGATAGAGGAAAACATGTGAAGTCCTCTTTTAAGTCTAAAAAGGATGTGAGCACTTCAAAGCCACTAGAACTTTTGCATATGGACCTATGTGGTCCTACAAAAATGCAAAGCAGAGGAGGAAAAAGATACATCTTTGTGATAGTGGATGACTACTCCAGATTCACATGGACTCTGTTTCTTAGAACTAAAGATGAAACTTTTGAAGTATTTGTGGCCTTTGTGAAGAAAATCCAAGTGAAGATGGAGTCTAGAGTCGCATGCATTAGGTCAGATCATGGAACAGAATATGACAATGCCAAATTTGATGAGTTCTTTCAATGAAAATGGCATTACCGACAACTTCTCAGCTCCCAGAACACCCCAGCAAAATAGAGTAGTGGAAATAAAGAACAGAACTCTGGAATAGATGGCAAGAACAATGTTAATCGACAGTGGAATTGCAAAGAACTTCTGGGCTGAAGCAGTCAACACTGCCTACTATTTGGTGAACAGGTGCATGATTAGATTCCTCCTGAACAATACCCCATATGAGTTGTTGAATGGAAGAAAACCTAAGTTGACTTACCTAAGAACATTTGGGTGTAAATGCTATGTTCTCAATAATGGAAAGGATCAGCTTAGTAAATTCGATGCCAAGAGTGAGTAAGGAATATTTTTGGGCTACTCTTCTCAAAGCAAAGAATACAAGATATATAATAAGTGGACTCAATGTGTTGAGGAAAGTGTTCATGTTATTTTTGATGAGTCTTATTCATCCTGTGAGAAGAGTGTTGAAGAAGATCAAGATGGAGAACCCTTACTAGTCCCTGGTGAAGTCATTAACATGACAAGTGGAAAGGCATACATGATGAGCCAAGTAAAAGACCTGAGTGAAGACAACACTACCTCATCTTCAATGGAACCAGGTACTTCAATTACAATCACTGAAGCTGAAGAAAGAGTGGTTGATGCAGTTTAGGGTACTCCACTAGCACCTGAAAGAATACAGGAAAACCAGTCAAATGTACCCACATTCTCTCTAAATGAACCCCAGACGTCTAACTAGAGACACAAAAGCTCTCATCCTCTTGACAACATAATTACTCCTCTAGATTCCGGAGTACAAACTAGGTCAAAAGCCAGAAATTCACATGCCTTATCAGCCTTTCTCTCCCAAATATAGCCCAAGAATATCAAGGAAGCCTTGAAAGATGCAGATTAGATTACAGCCATGCAAGACGAGTTACATCAGTTAAAAGGAACAATGTCTGGCACCTGGTACCCAGACCCCTAGATCAAACCATTATAGGAACCAGGTGGGTATTCAAGAACAAGCTTGATGAACAAGGAAATACCACAATGAATAAGGCGAGGCTAGTGGTTCAAGGCTACAATCAGGAGGAAAGGATTGACTATGATGCAACGTTTGCTCCGGTCGTTTGCATGGAAGCTATTAGAATTCTAATCATTTTTGCATCTCGTATGGAATTCACCTTGTTCCAAATAGATGTCAAAAGTGCATTTTTGAATGGACTTCTTAAGGAAGAAGTCTATGTGAAGAAACCTCAAGGGTTTGAATATCATGAACACCCTAAATATGTGTTTAAACTGGACAAAGCATTGTATGGGCTGAAGCAGGCTCCTCGAGCTTGGTATGAAAGGCTGTCAAAGTTTCTCTTGGAAAATGGCTTTAAAAGAGGGAAAATTGCCAACACCCTGTTTCTAAAGAAACGGGGAAGAAACATGCTCATTGTTCAGGTCTATGTTGATGATATCATTTTTGGAGCAACAACTGATTCTCTATGTGAAGAATTTGCAAACCTTATGTGAAGTGAGTTTGAAATGAGTATGATGGGGGAACTGAACTTCTTCTTGGGTCTTCAAGTAAACAGTCCCCAAATGGTACATTCATTTGTCAACAAAAATACATCATGGAGCTCTTAAAGAGGTTTGAAATGGAGGTATCAAAGGTGATAGACACTCCCATTGCTACAGCCACTCGACTGGACATGGATGAAGCTGGGCCTCCTATGAATCAAACTATGTATAGAGGCATTATTGGGTCTCTTCTTTATCTCACTGCAAGCAGGCCTGATATTGTCTTCAGTGTGGGGCTATGTGCAAGGTTTCAATCAAACCCCAAGGAATCTCATTTGAAGACTGCCAAAAGTATTCTGAGATATCTCAAAGGAACACAGGACCTGGTGCTTTATTATCCCTCAGGTGACAGCTTTAATCTCATTGGATATGCTGATGCAGACTATGCAGGTTATCTTGTAGACAGGAAAAACACCTCTGGAATGGCTCATTTCCTAGGATCATGTCTTATCTTTTGGGGCACAAAGAAGCAAAACTCAGCGGCTTTTCAACAGCTAAAGCAGAATATGTAGCCGCAACATCCTATTGTGCTCAACTTTTATGGATTAAGTAGCAATTGGAGGATTTTGTGGTACTCACTGAGAGTGTGCCCCTTCTATGTGATAACACCAGTGCACTCAACATGGCCAAGAATCAAGTTCAGCACAAAAGGACCAAGCATTTTGATGTGAGTCATCACTTTCTGAGGGACAATGTGGAGAAAGGATTGATATGCATGCAGTTCTGTAGCACAGAAGATCAAATTGCAGACATTTTCACCAAGGAATTAAGTAGGGAATATTTTGAAAGAAATAGAGTGAAGTTGGGGCTTTTAAAGCCCAATTGAGAACCTGATTCCTCATTGGTTGGCTATGAAAATCACCTTCAAGAAAAACTGCTAAAAGTGTTTTTTGGCCATGTCTAACTCACTTCAGTACCATTGTAGGTAAACATGCATGATGATTATAGAAGCTATAGATGCAGTTCATACATGATAAATGAGGATTAATATTTTCAAATAATAGGTCAAGAACCTGGTTCTTATATACAGTCTTTAATACATGTCTTAAAAAGGTACAAAACACAACTGCCATGTCATTCAACTTTTCAGATCCTGTTGTCACGTCTCTTCACTTCAAATCATTCCATCTCCCTCTGAAATGTTGCACTTCTCTACACCCAACCGTCGTTTCAGAACCGGTGCCTATCCTTCTCTCTTCATAATTATCCTCTCCTTATAAAAACCTTTTTTTTGTTCTCCACAAACCATAAGTCCTCTATTAGAACTTCCCAAAGCCTTTTCACACCATTTGTTTTCAATGGCTGGACAAACTCTGACCTCCCTGCCTCAGTCGTACATGCTACTGATAAACCTATGGAGACTTCCATCCCTACTGAGCCTTCTTTACCCATTCTTACCCTTCCTGCTAAAATCACACCTCACCCAGATTCTCTATATCTCTATATGTCAGAAACCCCTAAAGTTGTTGATCTGTTCTCTCCATCTTCTGTGGATCCCACTAGTCAAAGACCAAGTGGTGAACAAGGTCAAAACCCTGAGGTCACAGAGGGTTCCGCCATTGTTACTACCGATTCTGTGGTGGAAGTAATGCTAATTAAGGAAGAGAAGGTTGTAACCGTCTTTCTGGTGTCTGTTGATGGTGTATTGCATGAGATCATCTCTTAGAAAAACGAGGCACTAGGTGTGAGGGACGAAATGACAATTGTAACTGTTGAAGGCACTGTACTAGCAGAAGCTACTGGTCCCTCACATGAGGAACCCGATCCCTCTCCGAAGGACCCAGGTTAGGGTTCTCATGACCAGGACAGTTCTGCTCCTGCATTCGATATTGTGCCTTTGGACATACAGGTACCTAAGATGAGGTCCAGTGATGAGGAGGACCTAGATAACGTGGCTTATGATGCGTTCATAGTTAAGCGAAGGATTGTATCCACTCCTGAGTCATCCACCAAACGACCTACTACTAGGTTACAAGCTAAGGAGGCCTACGAATGCCTTTCAAAAGAGAAGAACAAGTAGTAAAAATCAAAGGAGGAAGCTGGTGAAAGATGGGAATTCCTGTGGTAGAGGTGGAAGAGGAAACCCCATATGAACATGGTTCACTGGTTAGACGGTCTCAGAAAAAGAAGCAGCATGCTTCAATAGAGAAGGGGTCAACCTCTAGTTCCAAGTTGAAGGAGGTGGTGAGAGAGTTCTCGATGTCTGATGAGGATGTGTTCGTCAAATCCAAGGGAAAAGGGAAATTAAGTGGTGAGAAGTCCGGCAAACGCAAGTCTGAAATTGTTCAGGAACCTGGTTCTGTGAAGAGAATGAGAAGTGAATTCAGCCTTGGCTCAGAACGCCTGAGGCACCAAAAAGTTCTGCTGGGTCATACTTTTGACCCAGCAATCTTTAAGATGGCTGGTATGCAACAAATTCTTCAAATGGTTGAATTTCAATGATGGGCGCATCTATTCCAAATAGATGCACCTAAGGTATATCTAGTTGTACTATACCAACCATCTATTTCGTATTTCGTATTTCGTATCCTGTATTTCATATTTCGTATCTCTTATATATTGTTGTGATTTTTATTACGCATTTTTATGGTACTAATATATCATCTCCTATTGCTTCTTTGAGCCGAGGGTCTCCTGGAAACAGTCTCTCTACCCTTCGGGATAGGGGTAAGGTCTGTGTACATATTACCCTCCCCAGACCCCACTTGTGGGATTATACTGGGTCGTTGTTGTTGTTGTTGTTGTTGCACCTAAGGTATATGAGGATGAGGTACAAAGCTTCTTTGCTAGCCTCTTTCCCATTGAAACATACCACATCTATGCCTTGGTGAATGGAGTGGACATCGTCTTCGATGTAAAGTTGCTTGGAGAGATTCTTAAAGTTCCTATAGTTGGTGTGTCCAGTGTAAAGGATGTGTGTCAGTTTAACTTCAGAAATGTCATGGTAAAAGACAATGCAAACCAAAAGGGGACCAGATCCATAAGAAAGATCTACTTCCCGTCTATCGGCTACTGTTTGAATTGGTCAACAAAGTTCTATTACCTCGAGCTGAGAGGAGGTCAGTGACTTCTAAGTCTGACATTTTCTTGATGGAGCAACTGGATAGCTTTACTCATGTGAGTCTGCATGCTATTATGATTGAACACATGCAAAAGGTTGCCACCTTCAAAGATGGTAATCATGGCCTTCCCTACGGGTTCTTGCTTACGCGAGTGTTTAAATTCTTTGAAGTGCCACTGGGACAGGCAAGGTGGGGACTAAGAAGAAGACTTTCTCACAGACAATTTTGGAAGAATGCGAGTGCTTAGAAAAGAATGGGAGGGTAGGAAGTACATCAACCATCTCACAGCTTATTAATGCTCAGAACAATGCAGCTGTGGAAATTCATCGGTTGAAGGCCAAGAATGCTATCCTGGAAGGTCATCAAGCCCAAGGGGTTCCGGCGTCAAATGATGAAGTAGCTTGGTTGACAAAGGACAACGCTGATCTCAAGGCTCAAGTAGAGAACCTAAAAGCAGAACTGCTCAATGAGCAAAAGTCGGCCAATGCCCGAATAGACCTTATTCTCCAAACACTTGCTGCAACTTCCAAGCCTTTTACTCCTAGTGCCCCCTAAGTACCCTTTCAGTGGTCAGTTTTATGAAAATATTTTTTTTAAGTTTTTCTCGTTTGGCAGATGTTTTTTTTTATGTGGTTGGGATGAAATAGTGATGCTCCCGTCTTAACAGTCCAATGTTGCCTTTGCTTTTTAACCAAAGGTATATAAAATTTTTTCAATATCAAATCTATCCTCTTTTATTAACTCAATGCTTAAATTTCTATGTTTCTCTTCTCTATCATGTTGTGTGCACATATGTGGCATGAGTTAGCTCGGCTAGACTTCTTTATGGTGTTTATCTGTTTGTGCCTTTTCAATGATGCCAAAAGGGGAATAAAATCAGGGGGAACTATTACTTAATCTGGTTCTAAAAAATGTGTAGTAGTTAAATATGAGAAATAAGAAAGGCATAAAGTCAGGGAAAACTAATTGTGACGTTACTTAATCTGGTTCTCAATGCTCTAAATCCACTTTATCAATGTTAAGTTTGTCATCATCAAAAAGGGGGAAATTGATAGGTTTTAAATGTCCTTGCCTTATGTTTTGATGATCTAACAAACTTACTATTAAGAACCAGATAGGGAACCTGACCTACTTGGACTATACTGCAAGTTTCACGGATTCCAGCTAAATGTGAACTGCTACAGCTTCAGGAGCTAGGAAACCAAACAAGCCCCTGATACCCTTGTGGTTCCCTCATAGCAGTACAAAGTCAATTGGACACAGCTGGAAATGAAGTGACCGCCTGCACTTTTTTTGCCACACTGCATTGTTTCTAGCGCCTACTCATTCCTTGACCAACTAAAGTGCTCATATATAATTATACATGTACCATGTTGGGATTCCCCCTCTTATATAAAGGGGACCCTTGTTATTTCTTGCACACATGACATTCAATACAAGAACAAGAACATTATTTGCTCTTTAACTTAAACATATTCTATTGTCGCTCATTTGATTTTATTGCTTATATTTATTGTGTTTTATTGATTGTTCTTCATTTATTGCTCATCATTGATCATAAAGAGCCACCATCAAGGCCCTCAGAACTGTTAGTTCTTCATCGACCATCCTCAATCAGGCGCTTTAGCTCGACCTCCAGGCCTAGCATAGGCCAGCTCGAGACCCTGATTTACGGCTATTTGGTTTGCATAACATACTGCCCTTGAGCTCTTATCGCATCCCCCTAACTCACACTTAGTATCTATCGCCTAACAACTAGCATTAAAATAAATTACGTATTTTTAGAATCATAAAATCAAATTTAATTGTAATTACCATTTTCAGGGTAAACAATTGGTGTAAATATGCGATGCGAGTAAAGCTTTACCATTTGTTGGAGGGATGGATTTTGTAACCAATGGATGAAGTGCATTAAGTTTCCTAATCCATTTTTAGCACTTCTCCTTGTGGCAAATTAAATGCCCTTTTTTTCTCTGAAAAAGAATCTCCTTCATGAACAGCATGAAAGTAAAGGGAAAAACAGTATACACGATAAAGTAAATCGACTAATTAATTGATAAGGAAAAAAAAAACATCGTTAACTGCACACCCTTATGTTTTAGGTAAATTATACAATCTGGTTAAGCTGTCAGCCCAAAACTTTATACACGTGTTTTGGAGTAAAACAAAACATCTTCAAATTCCTTTTCTTCATCTAATTAGACATTAGAGAAGAAAGTTGATCCCTACACTCTCCCCAAAAGAGAAAAAAAAACAAGTTCCAAAAGAAGGAAAAATTAAAACTACTCTTTGTTGGTGACAAATATAATTAACAAACATTAGCGAATAGCGATAAAGGTGAGTAAGGGAAGTGAAGAAAAGTGGATGGAGTAACAATAGTTTAACAATATTACCATGATAAAAAAAAATGAAATAATTTAAAAAGAGGAAATTGATTGGCAGTTAATTTAAGCAGCAATTGTTCTACCATAATGTAGAACCATGACATGATTAGAAGGTGTTGTGTTGTCAGCAGCATTAGTTGTACTCCATATATGATCTCTTACATGTTGCAATGTCAAGAAAGGCTGTAGCTGTTGGCCTCTACATGTTATCTCTATCTGAAATTACGTACAGAGTCATTCCCATTCCATGCAAAAGCCATCACCACCACCAAATTTTTACATGCACCAAACACCACCAACTCAACTCTATTAGTGAAATTAAACAACTTTAAATACAAGTGTAAACAAAACATGAAAATCAATTACAGAGCATAAGATACATAAATTGGTTAATTATTTTAAAAAAGGCAGCCCGGTATACTAAGCTCCCGCTATGCGCGGGGTTCGGGGAAAGACCAGACAACAAGGATCTATCTTACGCAGCCTTACCCTGCATTTCTACAAGAGGCTATTTCCACGGCTCGAACCGGTGACCTCCTGGTCACATGACATCAATTTTACCAGTTATACCAAAGTGGTTAATTATTTACTATAATCTAAATCAAGCAATAGTAATTATAATTCACGATTAAGTATAAACTGTGTTACATTGATAGCAGACAAAACATGTATATCAATTAAAGAGCATATAACAACAACATATTCAGTATGCTCCTACAAGTGGGGTCTGGGGAAGGTCGGCGTATGCAAAGCTTACTCCTATCTTTGTGGGGTAGAGAGACTGTTTCCGATAGACCCTCGACTTAAGAATAATAAATTACAAAGCATAAAATACATAAATTGATTATTATTTGCTATAGTTTAATCAAGCAATAGTAATTATGATTCACGATTAAGTATAAATTAGGTAACATGGATTGAACTACGCGTATATGTGTCTGTTATGAGTGTTTGCAGTTCAGTATGGATATAGTTGGGGACATTTTAACCTTTTTGCTAAAGTTCAGGGAATTTTAAGAAATCCTCATGAAATACTCACACCTATGATACACTCGTTAAATGTGGGATTTTAAAGCAAATGAAAGATCAATATAAGCAAAATATAAAAATAATCAAGATTGTGCTTGGCTGAAGTGTTAAAATTGCTTGGGATGAATATACAGAACATGGAAGTGACGGGGATATGGAGAAGGATGACTAGAATTGCAAAAGGGAAAATTGGAAGATCATTTACGAAGGCAGTTCTAGCAGCAGTCATATACCATATATGGAAAGCCAGGAATAAAGCTATATGGAGGAAAAGAGTATCTCGACCACAAGTAGTGTTAGAACAGATTCAATATGCATGCAAATACAAATGCTTGGAGATAATACAGAAGGAGAAGAGCAAGGGAAATATGAGTTGGTTTGAAAAGTTATATAGATAGGAACAAAAATATTTTGTATAGGAAAATGATAGATTGAAATATAGTGAAGGTATGGAATATTAGAAGGATAGGAGAAGTGAAATTGTANGGCATGCAAATTTGGGTTATTGAAAAGGACATATGGAGGAAAAAGGATAGGGTCCACGTGTGTTTTTCGTGACCCTACGATACGATTTCATGCCTTGTTAACATCAAACTTCTTACCTACGGTTTGTTTAGATACAATATAATTAAATAATTAAAAACATATTTTATCTCTTAAATTTCAAGTGAAATGGTATTTGAAAATAGTGGACGTTTGGACATAAGAATTGTAGAATTCCAAAATAGGGTGAAAATTTTTTTCAAGTGAAAATAGTATTTGAAATTTAGAGTTGTGTTTGGACATGAATATAGTTTGGGTTATTTTTCAAGTTTTGTGAGTGATTTGAGTGAAATTTTTGAAAAACAGCTTTTTGGAGTTTTTCAAATTTTCAAAATGTATCTTCAAGTGAAAATTGAAAATTTTATGAGAAACGCTGATTTCAAAAAGAAGTGAAATTTTTTTGGGAAAAAGGGAAAATTTTCTTATGTCCAAATGGGCTCTTAGAATTGCATTTGGACATGAATAAAATTTTGGGTTATTTTTGAATTTTTTTGAGTGATTTGAGTGAAAATTTTGAAAAACAATTCTTTGGAGTTTTAACATTTTTTGAAAATTTTTAAAATTCATCTTCAAATGTAAACTGAAAATTTTATGGGTAAATACTGATTTTGAAAAAAGCAAAAAAGTGAAAAAATTCTTATGTCCAGACAATCTCTTAATTACTTCCTATCATAGGCACACTTAATCTTTTCATGAGTCAAGTACTTAGAAATTATTCTTGATAATGGGTGATATTAAAACCGTCCAAACAAAGATAAATCGAACATGTTCACTTTCTCTTTCCCTACTTAAAAGTCAATGCACATTTGCGCTCAACAAAATCATTATTAAGCGCAAAGCAGACTGTAGAAAAGGGAAAGAAAAGCAACCTACCAATCTTGATTTTGACATTTGCTCTCTCTCATATATTTTTCATTGCTTAAGACTATTATCCTTAGTATCAAAATGCTCCCTACATTGTGGTTAATGATAATTATGAGACAAAAAATACACACATGATATATATAAAAGTACATACACACCCACAAAACATTAGAGCAATTAGTATGAGAAGAAGTAATCCTAAACCAAAAAAGGTAGTGGTGTCTCATTCCAAATCATTCTTAAGATTCTTTAAGCTACTTTTTTCTCTTTATGCTATTTGCATGTCTGTCTTTCTATGTGAAAAATTTAAACCCTACGTCTCTTACACGCTTAATTCTGAGTACAAAAAGAAGGGTATATGTGAGTTCCTGATATGGTTATATGCATCATGTCAATGGTCCTAACAGCTTAGATCTAAGTCCAGAGGCGGACATATCTTATACAATGAGGGGTTTAGTTCGATAAAAAAAGCTATATATACATGTATATATCATTAAAAAATAGTAATATATTAGTAGTGACACCTTATATACAAAGTAAATTTTGGTTGAATGAAAATATGTACCCGCTACCTTTAAATTTTGGATGCGCCTCTAATATAATCAATACAGGGTTAGGTTAGGTCAGGGGAGAAGAGAGAATTATGCAAAGGAAAGAAAGATAATATTACAACATGAACTATCATTGATATCTTATTCCCTACCACTTAAAACTTTAATCATTGGTCACTTAGTTGCCATGACGTGTGGATTTTTCGAAGTTTGAGTAACATAGACATGATAACCATGTCCATATGATACCAAAAAACTGAAGTCAACTTGGGTAGGACATTAAAAGAAGGGCCAAATAACATTAAGACGGCAAGGATGTAGCCGTTCGTGAATACTAAGAAGCAACATTTTTTAAAATAAATAAAAGCTACATTCTACGAAGGAGGCCACAATTACATAATAGGAATGCTTACGAATAAATATATATGCAGCGAGTAACACATAGAAGTAGAATTGGTTCTTTCTTATTTACTTGGTCAATAGTTTACGTAAAGAAATATTTTCGTTGAGTTTAGATAGAGATTGTTTTTGAAGCATCTATTTAGGTACTCTCTTCAGGATATTTTATTATGTAGTGCAAGGAAAGAACAAGGGTTGACCTCGTGGATACATATAATAAGTCCTAATTAATAAGTAGTATGGAATGTTTAGGAAAAAGAATGTTATGTGTCATACATCCTAACAACCTAACATTAATGTATACAAGGTCTTATTTTTTAGTATGCGCTTTAGATAAAACCCTAATACCAGTTATTTCAGGTAGGTGGAGGAAAAATTAATTTTTATTCCGTAGAAGTAACTTGGAAAAGAGAATGAAAGGTTAGCTAATTATTTATTAAACGTTAGATGTATGTATATCTAGATTCTCAAGCACAGCTGGTTGTTTCCAGATAATATTGGAGTATCATTTAGTAATTAATATAGAATGAATCTTAACGATACTCCTAATTGAAGAAGAACAACAACTACATGAGTGACGGCTTCTTTTGTCTACATGCATGCAAATCACTAAGGTCAAAGGAGGAGAAAGAGAAAAAGTTATAACATCTTCATTCATCAGACATCTTGGCATTCTTATAAGTAATTAAAAAACAGTTAGCCTTGAGGGCAAGTAACAAATTTTCATATAACAAATTGATTTCCTATTTAGATTACTAATCTTTTGTCTTTAGATTATCAAGAGAAGTTGGCGAGATGTTGAGACAATAAGCGGTAAATATAGCTTCCTATTTATTTTCATCAGAAAATAGACACAAACATCATATGCATCTACAACACCATATATATAACAAAATTAAAAATCATTAATTTCCCATTGATGTACTAAAATGACAAATATAGCCATCTTCTATTCTATTCTTCTAATGCATTTAAGTCATTAATTAAATGCAATTCTTTTGAAAGGGGAAGTGAAAAGAAAGAGTCATTAACGAAGTGTAGCTAAAAACCCAACACTCGACAAGAACCAAGAGTAGAAAATTATCCGTTGTTCTAACTAAGGTAAATGCAAAAACGGATATTGAAATTATTGAGAGTGATAAATGATATAATTTGGAAACATTTCGAAATGCTAGCGTGCACTATATCACGTATGCATCTACCTATAATTTAACTATTATCCTACAACTTAAGCTTGACCTTCTCCTCCGATCTCTGAACTTGAAAAAAACCTAATCTTTTCAGGATAAACATATTTGGTAAGCAAAAAAGAGAACAATTTAAAAAAAGTAAATTATTTCTGATCAGTATGATCAGGGAAAGAGTAGAAGAAAATTTGTTAGTCTAAAGGAGTAAGAACACATAGACAAGTACTGCATTATATTTCTTTTGAAGGAACAAAAAGTTCCCATTAGCATATTGTTTACCTGTAAATGCTAAGTATTTCTTTTCTAATTAGAACTTTACTGCTTTCTTCACCAAGGAGAAGAAAAGGAAAAGGTGACCGATCACTATGCGAATTCTTGACACTGATCTTGAAAACTCTACGCGATCGACTTGTTTGGTCTAATGAGGAAAAGGAACAGAAGAGGGAAAAAGAAGGTTTCATCTAAATAGATATCTAATGTGTTAAGCTTCCATATTCCCTTTGAGCACCTCATCAAAATGGAAAAAGAACATATAGGTTGGAGCCATGGATGAAAAGGAAAGGTGGCGAGTCATGGGATGTCATGAGTAAAAAGAACTATTCCCCAAAAGAAACAGTAGCCATGATTCACATAAGATAAAAAAAGAAAAAGAAAAAAAAAAGAGTTTAAGTTATATACATCGTCAAATAATATTCATTGTTCTTTCTCGTTAATGATGCTTTTTTCTTTGATATATACTCTCTCCGTTTCAATTTATGTGAACCCATTTGACTGGGCACGGAATTTAAGAAAAGAGAGAAGACTTTTGAACTTGTAGTGTAAAATGAAGCACAAATATTTTGTGTGGCTATAAATCATTGCATAAAGGTAAATTGTTTTCAAATAGGAAAAGAGGTCATTCTTTTTGGCACGGACTATAAAGGAAATAGATTCATTGTAACGGAGGGCGTAAAAGATTATTTCTAACTCTCTTTTCTCTATAATTAAACAAGTCGTTATGAGCTTCACAATAGACACACTTAATTTAACGATATGCCGCCCTACTTGTTTCTATCCGAAGTATTGCTATTAACCTTAACGGCTTCATTGCTAACATTATACCAGGCGAATGCAGGATCTAGAATTAGCTAGTAAATAATGATTGTGATCTTATATATGTATATATTTTAAATATATTATTATATGTATACATAGTTTAAACGGAAAATGATAGATTTAGTTGGATCCACAGAACTCGTTCTCGATCTAGTTATGAGTTTGTATATCTCAAAGCTATTAGAGGAAAATGGCAGATGTCATTCCAGAAAGATTGGAATATTATTTTCTCGGAAGTAAGAACGAAGCGAACCGTGAAAGTTATCAAAAGAAATGTGTTAAGGCTCATTCCTATTGTTATGTTATTTGAGTGATTTTGGGGCTGATGAGGTAGTATGTTGTTTTCTCCTGCGTTTCTTACTTTAGCCATACTCTAAAATCATTCAGCAATAGAATAATAAGCATGAAACTAACGATCCCTATATAATTTTTAGATGTCCATTTCCTTAAAGAGAAAAGACAATAGTTTTTCGGTGAACGTGCGAGATGGAACTAGTAAAGATCGACCTTAAGCTAATAATACAAAAAGAGAAGAATTAATGTAGATGGCTACCTAGAAATGTACTTCCCACCTAATTATGAAGTTCTCTTAATCCATAAATATTACCCAAAATAAACCATTAATTAGTTCTGCTGTTTCTTTCATATTTTTTTATGCCCACCAACCGTTGTAACATGTTATGGATTTACTGGTCCAAACATTTTGGTCTTAGTTCTACCTTGGAGTCCTACAGTTAACGGTTTTTCAGGCAAATATGAAGCATTTATACTAACACCAAATATAAGGAAAATAAATAAAGGAACAGCTGTAGAGCAAAAATGGTGGTTTACATACCTCTGATTCGTTTTCCAATTGGAGCTTATTGACCAAATACTTCAACACCAATCGTATCGTCATCCTCCCATCTCTTGAACAATTAGGAACCAACCAGATTTTAAAAAAATAAAAATAAGTTGAGTCAAAATGAAAGAAATATGAAGTCCAAAAATTAAAAAGGAAAACTTCAAAGTAGATGGATTATATTTCTTACTTGATTCTAAGGTAGCTCTTGGATATCTGTGGCAGAAAGGGTTCTTTTGCTCTGCATCATAAAGCAAAGTAGACAAATTAGTCATGCATACTTTGAAGTAAAATAGAATTTAGAGAGTAAATCAGCAAGAAGAAAGACAAGGAAAAAATGAAAAAAAAAACAGCAACAATTTTGTTTTTGTTGTAAACTTACTGGTTTAAGGATGCTTGTAGGGAAAACCATAACCCAGAAAGTGGTCTTTTTGGAGGATGAATGACCCTGAAATCTATATTAGTACTTGGTCCAGGAACTCCTATTCCGGCATGAAGTACTGGAAATGGCCGAGGGCTAAAATATGATCCTGCTGCTGAAACTAGAGGCATAAAATTAGGATCGATATTCTGTTGGATTTGCATAGGTCTAAAACCCCAGTTAATCTCTTGAGGAAACATTGTAGAAGAAGTGGGATTTTGCAAAAACAATGACGATGTACTAGTAGTCATAACAAGCTGCTGTTTTGGAGGTGGAGGTGCTCTAAATTCAGGAATATTATTATGATGTTGAAATATGGATTTTCCTTGTAATTCAGAACGCAACAGATCAAGCTCCACTGGTCCTCTAATTTGTGGCTTGTTGGTGGCTGTGCCAATACTCAGCTGAAGCCACCCTTCATCTTCTTCCTTGTCTTTAGCTTTTTCTTGAATATTGTTAATATCGTTGTTATCTTTGGAAGTAGAACCGGTTTCGTTAATACTGCCGGTTCTTGATTCATCTTCAGCCATTGGTTCAATCAGTGCTAGATCAGATCCTAATAAACAATCTCCTGCACGTTGGCTATAATATTCATATCCTTCTTCTGCTAATTGGCTCATACGACTAAAACTCTCGTAATAACCATAAACACTGCTCTGATGATTCTGTTTAGAAAGGTTTTGAGAAGGATTAATCATGGTCATATTGAAATCCCCCCAAAGTAATAATTACCAAAACCCACAAAGGAGAAGAAGCTGTTGTTGAAAATCTCTTTAATGTAAGCCATGGATAAATGAGATATTCTTGTTCAACTCTACAAATTGGAAAAAGGAAGAGAGATCTGCTTTAGAGGTTCTGGGTAGAAAAACCATGCTTTCTTGGTATTATTATGGAGATAGAGATACCCATTGACTAGCAGAGGATAAACTGTGTCTAAAGTTGTTTCTTTTATAATATATGTGCTGTTTTTATCCTCGACAAAACATCAACGGAAAAGGAGGAGAATAATACCTGCAAATCTCACTTTCCATTAATTCTCTTTGTTTGGAAGCTTGTAAGGGATGAAATAGTTTTTTTTTCGCAGAGGTAAAAATAGATGGTGGTCAGTCACTTGAAGACATTATTTTATATTCTTCTTGCACATCTCTCTCTCTCTCTATAAAATAACATATACTCTCTCCGTCCAATTTATATAATGGTATTTCTTTTGTAATCTATAACAAAAAATAGTATATTTTTATATTTAAAAATAATTTAATTTTAAATATTTTATTTTATTTTTAATGAGATAAAATAATTAATTTATGAGCACATAAATATTTACGGCTTAATTATTTAGACCTTAAATTTTAAAAAAAATTAAACTTTGTATCTAGTCAAATTCTATCACATGAATTGAGACAAAAGAAGTGTTACTAACTACGATAAGTACTCCCTTCGTTCACTTTACTTGTCCAAATGGACTTGTCACGCCCCTTAAGAAATGATAAATAAAGTATACATTTTAAATAACACTCATAACAATAATATCATTTTAAGAAGTCTTAGGAAATGATTTAGGGAAAGATTAGTTAAGGGTAAAAGAGATTTCTTTTTTTTTATTTTCTCTTGATTTGCTAAAATTGACAAGTAAAAATAAAAATATATTTTTAGTATAACGGACAAGTAAAAATAAACGGAGGAAGAATATACTAACAAATCAAAAATGTTTACACTATCCATGCTCTTAGTGTAATTTAATTTATTGTAGCAAATTACTACTTTATTTTTCATGCAATTAGTTTCACTTATTACACGAGTTGTCACCATGTTACTTGTAAACAGTATACATATTTTAGGTAATTTGATATAGTAAAACTTCGTCTGTACAATCATATGAGCCTATTCGGATTAGCTGATTGTAAATAGCTGATAAGTTTGAAGTGCTGGAAAGTATTTTTAATTGCTGAAATTGATTTTTAAAATAAATATTTACGTGTTTGGATAGAAGTGCTAAAATTAATAATAAGCAGTTGATGTATTTGATTAAAAAAAAAGGTGATAAGCTATTCTTTTGTTAAAATGATTAAAATACCCTTGATTTTTTTTAAAAGATTATAAATTAAAAAATTTCTATATGAAGAAAAGAATTAACAACGAATATGGAATGGAGAGAAAGTCAAAAAAATTATTTTGCAAAAAGTATTTTGTGAATTAGAAAATATTATTAAGGATAAACTAGTAAAAGTATTGGTCAAACTAAAAGTGCTTATAAGTTGAAAAACCATAAGTTGGGGGTGACAAATTTATGACTTATGACTAATTTTACCTTACAAGCATTTTAATGTTTACCAAACACATAAATAAGCCAAAAGATATTTATAAGCCAGTTTAAGGTCAGGCAAACACCCACTACTATATCATCTTTTATATATGTCTTTAATCTTTTTGAAGGTCTATACCAATATTGATCTTTTGACTTAATTAATGAAAGAAATACATGTTCCACCTTTATAAAAGTGCAGCAGCCCCCCCCCCCCCNTTTCTCCAGATATCACATAAAGGTCCTTTTTAGCTTTTAATCCATGTCTTTTGGGCATCTAAACCTTGCTTGGAATTCGCAATTCTTTTTTGCACTCAATTCATGTTTGATTAGAAATATAATCTTACTAATTAATTTTCCATTCCGTGTAAGCTGATTACAGATCAATGAAGCTTTTTAGACAAAACGGTAACTTCATTTTCATTAAAGATTTTCTAGTACAAGTATTTGTTCATTCAAATAAGCTTATATATGCCCGGTAATCTAGTGTAGGAGTTTGAAAAAACATAAAATGCACACAAAAAAGTAATTGCTAATTTTTTCTTTTTCTTTTTGCTGCCTTTTTTTTTAAAAATTATCTATTTTTCCTCACGGTACGTGCTTCGTAGGAAGATCAAAGACTTTAGCTGGAGAAAGATACTCATAAGCGGGTGGCAAACGGGCAGGTCGGGTCGGATATAGTTCGAGTCAAAACAGGTAATAAAAAACGGATAAAGTATCCGACCCGATTCATATTTAATACGGATAAAAAACGGGTTAATTGGCGGATAATATGAGCAACCACCATATTATTTATGACTTCTTGCATATGATCACTTTTGGGAGAATTCCTAGTCTCCCTAACTTGAGGAACCTCCAATTTGAGGCTTTACAAATGTAAAAGTTAGACTCACTGGTTATCCATTGGTTAAATGCATAATATGGTTTTATCCATATTTGATCCGTTTTTAAAAAGTTTATTATCCAACCTATTTTTCAGTGGATAATATGAGTGGTTAACTATTTTCTTTTAACCATTTTGCCACCCCTACTCATAAGCAAGAAATTAAGGCTTTCCAAAATCTTCAAGAAAAAGTTCACCTTTTTACAAAATTTCCCAACAAGTTAATCGTTTTGTTTGTCCAATATAATTTGTACAGAAAACTATAGTCTACGGTTGATAAATTTGGATTAATAATCCTAGAATTATTTAGTAAGTACTTATGATTTGTTTGATTTATTGAATTAAAAGGTGATACGCGTACGAGGTATAATCTTAAATATATAGATAAATTTTTGTTTTCAATTATAACCTTAATATTTTTTTATCTTAAAACTGGATAGATTTAGACAAATTTTTGTTTTCAATTTTAACTTGGCTCTATTAAGAATAAATCTGGCAGAAGGGCGATTTTGTCAATGTACTTACATAATCCACGTATAGCTGATCCTTGAACTGTTATCACAATCCATGTATAACCGGTATAAGATTATAACAAGATTTAACAACAACAATTATACCTCAATCCGAAATGAATCTTTAATATCATAAATGTGTTTTTTGAGTCCATCATATTCCAATACTCCGTATTAGCATATTATTTCGCAGTAAGAGTTCTCTAATATACTGTAGTGGTTATATTTTTAATCAGCTAAGAAAACTGGAATCACCTATGGGGATGTTCAACTTCCATTATTTTCTATCTTATACTAAACGATTTTAGATCAAACCTCTTTCTCTTTTAATTCTCAATCATCATCATGTTTCTTAATGCTTCTACCAAAAATGAAAAAAGCAACTAACAAAGTATAAAATAATATTGAATTATATAGCGAAACTATATATTTTCATATAACTCTGTTGCGACCAAACACACACGCCAGTATACGCGGTCGTCAAGTAATAGAGTAGTGAGTAGAGTATCGTTCCCACGAAGACTTATGATCAACTGTTGACTGATTCAAACCCAATTTCTTTATCTACCCAAGAGATTGTTCACAAGAGAGAGATGTAATTGTTTTACTACTTAACTATAAAGAATTAATCTAACTAAAGCAAGTAACCAAACAGATAGCAATCACAAGTAACAAACAATAGGAGAAGATATTCCAGGGTCACGGGCATAGTTACATTCGTGTTGTGTTCTTGGCTCGAAATGACTAATCAATATATCTGGGTTATTGATTGACAGGGTTGATATTACTCATAAGAATCTGTCGAGTTCTTACTCGCCTATTCAAGTCAACTCAATGCCTATATGTCTATGGAATTAAGATTAACAAGAACGCATTTACAATTCCTGTATTCCAACCAAACAAGGCAATTGGGTATATGTCTATCCTAATTGCAAATCTATTCCCCGAGGCCCGGGTTCAAGAACTTGATCTATTTAATTCTATATGTAATCTAAAGTTCCCACTTTCGAGTTCAACTGAAGATTCGTAGATAGTATTTCACTGTTAGCTACTCAGCAAAATAATTAAGAACATAATTAAATAAATAACCCAATATGATAAACCAATTTTTGTCAAATTAAACTTCAAACAACAACATTCATATTTTACCCACGACCCTAGAACAATGGGTCTTAGCTACTCATACTAGGGTTCATCATAAACAAGTTCAATTTCATCACAAACAGCAAAAACAAAAGAAGAAAAGAAGACTTTGATGATCAAAACTCGTCCTTGCCTCTTGCCTCTCTATCTCCTCCACTAAACTATGAAAAACTTCCCCCCTTTAACCTTGGGCGAGCTTGACTTTATATAGGTTAAGTGGATTTCCCTCCAGATTTCCAATTTTACCCCCAAACAACGTTTCTCCGGATCGGACACGCGCGAACTACTGCGCTAAGTATGGAGTTCGCGCGTTACTTCGCGCGTTTCTCTTGGATTCCAGGCAGAAAAGCTCGCGAACTACTGCGCGACGTTTGGAGTTCGCGCGATACGTAGCGTGCTTTTGAAGCTCGATTCCGTCCATTTTTTCGTCTCGTCCTTGCACACACTCGACTCCTAGGGGTTGTTCTTGCTCATAAATCATTCCAATATCCTCTTGAAAGCATTATTTAGGCTCCTCATCCTGCAATGTATACATATCACAATTAGAGCCTATTTTTCATTAATTGACCATAATATGACATCAGAATATAATCAAGCGGAAGCATAAACAATAGCTAAATCACCTAGATTTCGCTTATTATCAAACTCCTGCCGGTGACCAACGAGCCATTAGATTTTTTCTAGTGACTGATAAAAACTCAACAATATATGTAGTCTACATGATATCTGTATCCAACAATAATAATCAAAGGTAATCCTGTCAATCCTTATTACTTGGCATTTAATGTTTTGGCACATTTATCACGAAAAGAGCATATTTCTGTTTGCTAGGGGTGACAAACGGGCGGGGTAGGGTCGGGTATGAGCGAGTTAAAACGGATAATTTAAAAAAAATGATAAATTATCCGACCCAATTCGTATTTGAGACAGATAAAACACAGGTTTATCTGGCGGATAATATGGATATTCATATTATTTATGACTTCTTAAATATGATCACTTATGATAGAATTTCTAGTCTTCCATACTTGAGGAACTCCAATTTGAGACTTTACAAATGTAAAAGTTAAACACATTAGTTATCCATTGGTTATCCGTTTGGTTAACCATTTTCTAAGTGGATAATACGGTTCTTTATCCATATTCGACCCGTTTTTAAATGGTTCATTATTCAACATATTTTTTGATAGATAATATGAATAGATAACTATTTTCTTTTAACTATTTTGTCACCTAGTGAAGAGTAATCTTTTTCTCTATCAGATTAAAGTGACCTGTATGTAA